TTTGGGGGTTTTCCATCGGCTAAATGAAATCCTAAAATGTTGCATATTGTCCGCTATGTTTTTAATCAGATCGATGTGGGGAATGAAATGCAAACATACTATTTACCTTGGCTGTGGAGAGGGCCTCTCTATTGCATTCCTCAAAGATGGGAGAGGGGACACACACAAGGGGATGAATAGAACCTATGCAGCACATGCAAATATGTTTCCCCCCCCCCCCCATTTTCAACATGCATGTTGTTCCACTGGCCTCTGTTTTCCAACTTAAGCTAATTAGGGAAAAGATGGTAAGGGAAAGGGCCTGTTTACAGTTGAAGTCGGAAGTTTACATACACCTTAGCCAAATACATTTAAACTCAGTTTTTCACAATTCCTGACATTTAATCCTAGTAAAAAGTCCCCGTCTTAGGTCAGTTAGGAACACCACTTTATTTTAAGAATGTGAAATGTCAGAATAATAGTAAAGTTATTTATTTGAGCTTTTATTTATTTCATCACATTCCCAGTGGGTCAGAAGTTTACATACACTCAATTAGCATTTGGTAGCATTGCCTTTTAAATTGTTTAACTTGGCTCAAACGTTTCAGATAGCCTTCCACAAGCTTCCCACAATAAGTTGGATGATTTTTGGCCCATTCCTCCTGACAGAGCTGGTGTAACTGAGTCAGGTTTGTAGGCCTCCTTGCTCGCACATGCTTTTTCAGTTCTGCCCACAAGTTTTCTATAGGATTGAGGTCAGGGCTTTGTGATGGCCACTCCAATACCTTGACTTTGTTGTCCTTAAGCCATTTTGCCACAACTTTGGAAGTATGCTTGGGGTCATTGTCCATTTGGAAGACCCATTTGTGACCAAGCTTTAACTTCCTGACTGATGTCTTGAGATGTTGCTTCAATATATCCACATAATTTTCCTTCCTCATGATGCTATCTATTTTGTGAAGTGCACCAGTCTCTCCTGCAGCAAAGCACCCCCACAGCATGATGCTGCCACCCCCGTGCTTCACTGTTGGGATGGTGTTCTTCGGCTTGCAAGCATCCCCCTTTTTCCTCCAAACATAACGATGGTCATTATGGCCAAACAGTTACATTTTTGTTTCATCAGACCAGAGGACATTTCTCCAAAAAGTACGATATTTGTCCCCATGTGCAGTTGCAAACTGTAGTCTGGCTTTTTTATGGCGGATTTGGAGCAGTGGCTTCTTCCTTGCTGAGCAGCCTTTCAGGTTATGTCGATATAGGACTCGTTTTTACTGTGGATATAGATACTTTTGTACCTGTTTCCTCCAGCATCTTCACAAGGTCCTTTGCTGTTGTTCTGGGATTGATTTGCACTTTTCGCACCAAAGTACGTTCATCTCTAAGAGACAGATCGCGTCTCCTTCATGTCGGCTGCATGGTCCCATGGTGTTTATACTTGCGTACTATTGTTTGTACAGATTAATGTGGTACCTTCAGGCGTTTGGAAATTGCTCCCAAGGATGAACCAGACTTGTGGAGGTCTACAAATTCATTTCTGAGGTCTTGGCTGATTTTCTTTTGATTTACCCATGATTTTACATTTTAGTCATTTAGCAGACGCTCTTATCCAGAGCGACTTACAGTTAGAGTGCATACATTTTCATACTGGCCGCCCTTGGGAAACGAACCCACAACCCTGGCGTTGCAAGCGCCATGCTCTACCAACTGAGCTACAGGGGACAGTATGATGTCAAGCAAAGAGGCACTGAGTTTGAAGGTAGGCCTTGAAATACATCCACAGGTACACCTCCAATTGACTCAAATGATGTCAATTAGCCTATCAGAAGCTTCTAAAGCCATGACATCATTTTCTGGAATTTTCCAAGCTGTTTAAAGGCACAGTCAACTTAATGTATGTAAACTTCTGACCCACTGGAATTGTGATACAGTGAAATAATCTGTCTGTAAACAATTGTTGGAAAACTTACTTGTGTCATGCATAAAGTAGATGTCCTAACCGACTTGCCAAAACTATAGTTTGTTAACAAGACATTTGTGGAGTGGTTGAAAAACATTTCATTAACTTTTTAGAGGGGTCATAACTGATTTGGCAAACATTTTGTGTGCAGCGTGGTAATTGCTGGGAGAAATGTACACCTAGCTGTGGGTCCGAGGAGAATCAGCCTTTTGTGTGTTCAGGCCAAGAGTCAGGGGTTTGGCTTAGCAGCTCACCTCACCTGGCGCCACAGGCTAGGGTTCCTATGGTGATGGAGTGACATTCAGGGCTGCCCCGGTAACGGCCCCATTCTTGAGGTGCATTGTCTCCTGCTCGCCTGCTAACTCTTAAAAAAATAAAAATAAAATAATCTCTCCACACCTTTCTAATCTATTTAATTATTTATGCTTTTGATAAGATGGCTCCCTCAAACTTATTTAGAACACAACTCACTTCATTAAAATGTCTAAACCCACTGTCTTAGCACAGCTTTTTAAAACATTAATGCTTAGCTGAGTTTTCTGACAAAGGTGCCTGTTCTTCTGATCGCATAGTTTATTATATAGGACATAATACTTAACGGGCTTAACACTTCACAGCCCAATACATATCATGTGGCTAGGAGACAGTCTGGCCAATTGAGTGCAGTAACCGTTTTCTTCTCACCCTTGAAAGGCCATTTGTGAGAATGTTATAGCAATTTCAGACTGAAGATGTGGTATATAAATAAGGCAATGTGTATATGACCCCCTTTCAAACAGCCATTTATTTACCTCTTTCTTGCAGGCAGGTATATACCCCTTCTATACATATCAGTGGGTAACTGGCCAATTGGGAGGGGTGGGGGTGGTGTTAAACCATGGGGGCTGTTTGCATTTCACATTTGGGAGGTGTTAAACCAATGGAAGTGTAAATTAATTTACCTGCAAAAAAGAAGAGAACCATTCACACAGACCTGATACCTGTATTTTGGTTACAGGGTCTGAAAATGCAGCAATCATGACTAGGTCTTTAGGTGGATTTTAATTTGCCATTTTTTTACCCCCTACCCCTTTCAGATATACGATAAAAACTGGTATAAAAAAAGCAGGCATGTTAAATTAGTTGGATTTTGGTCTGTGTATGAAAGGGATATTACAGTGGCAGACAAAGCCTGCTCTGTGACTTGGCCTGCCAGCCCTGCAATATCCTATTTAAAGCATAATCTATAGCAGCATCAGGAACATGCATTTTTCTACTAATCCTCTTTTAAAGACCTTTACCCACATTAGCCCCCTTGCCCCTCACGTATGGTTTTCATTGAGTCCCGCACCAGTGGAATTTGGAGTGGCTGGTGGGGGAGAGGAGAGGGCATTCTGTTGGCGTCTCAGCCTTGCGGAAGGCTGTTTAGTTGTGTATTCAGGTGATCACATGAAAAGAGATGGCTAGTGGACGGTGAATCGTTTCCTTTAGCTTTGTTTCCGTTTCCCCTTTTTGTTGATGTTATAGAGGACAGCTGGTGTGCAGCCTTTTTTACCCACATTGTAAAGCGTACTTCTTCATTCTACCTCAATTTTTATAGGGCCTTGTATGTTTGTTAATGGCTCTGTGTTTGTTTTAAATCAGAATTTACCTTGGTGTATGGTTTTCTATATTACCATGGACTTATAGTTTTAAAGAAAATATTTCGGCTGTGCAGTTTTGGTAAGAAACCAAGAAAATAACATCTAAGTTTCTTTCAAGCTAACGGATGTTTTTATTTTATTTTACCCTTATTTTACCAGGTACGTTGACTGAACACATTCTCATTTACGGCAGGTAGCTTAGTGGTTAAGAGCGTTGTGCCAGTAACCGAAAGGTCGCTGGTTCTAATCCCCGAGCCGACTAGGTGAAAAATCTGTCGATGTGCCCTTGAGCAAGGCACTTAACCCTAATTGCTCCTGTAAGTCGCTCTGGATAAGAGCGTCTGCTAAATGACTAAAATGTAAATGTAAAATTTACAGCAACGACCTGGGGAATAGTTACAGAGGAGAGGATGGGGATGAATGAGCCAATTGGAAGCTGGGGATGATTAGGTGGACATGATGGTATGAGGGCCAGATTGATGAGTGGAGCTTTTAGCTAATGCATTTTGGGGGCTTGGTCCACACTATGGGGAAAGCGTGAATGGGTCACCATCTCCACCAGTAACCACCAGGGGTGGGCGAGACTGCGGGGGTGATGTACCGCCAGGTCCATGACTCGGGTTTCTGTTCCCTCTCCATCCCTCCCTCCCCCGCCCTCATTCCTGCTGTTTGGCGACCCAGAAACGGAGTTGTTTTTCACCTTCCCTATGCCAGTACTGTGACCCCCAACACCCATAGTTACACACATGCACATTAAAGCGCACACATGCATGCACATACAATGCAAAGCCAGTGGGGGTAGGAATAGAGAGGGACAGGGTGTGTACATAGAGGACTTAACGAGGTTAGCAAGTCCTGTCATTGGATCCCCATCAGTCTGCATATGGTCCCATCTATGCGCATTCCTTTCTGCTTTTGTCTGCGAATGTCGTTGGGACGTTGGCCTCACCATTTGGTCATCTACTTGTAGCTCAGGGGTGGTCCTAGAACATTTCCTGTTAGCTAAGCAGCTGACCCTTTCCTGTTTTCCTGTTCCCATTGTCACAAGGCGATGCCTGCTGGCCCGTGTTTGACTCAATGGGTCACCCGGTACCTTCGTACAGGCCCACAGGAAAGGCTGTTGAATGACTACTAGGCTGTGACAATGACGACCTGTGACTGGGTCAACCTGTGCCATTGTCAATATCTGTCTCCCCATTGTTTTGCAAGGTCAAAGTGGCTGGTTTACTTAACCCAAGTGGCTATTGTTACAAGTTTATTTTGTGTTGCCAATGTATATGAGACAAGTTGTTACTCCATTTTCCATTTGAAAATCATAGGCCATACATGGGAGAATGTGCTTTTCAATTATTGTTCATGTAATTTTATTTTGTATTTTAAAAATTCATGCCGGTGGTGTGATTCTGCATTGGTCTCAACATCATGTCCTTTACCCTTTGCAGAGAGGATCAGACGAGCTTTTCTCCTGCGTCTCAAACGGACCCTATATAATGACCAGCGCAGCAGGTTAGTGTTGAAACCTCCATTTTGTTTTAATATCAAAGAAATAAACAAACTTTTTAAATCTATTTCAGCAGCATCTCCAAAAGGGCGTACATCCAAACTGTGCTCTCCATTTCTTCCACAGCCAATGGCAATGACAGCAAGAAGTTCAAAGGTGACATAAGGAGCCCGGGCATCCCGTCGCGTGTCATCCACATGCGCAAGCTCCCCAATGACATCAACGAGGCTGAGGTCATCTCCCTGGGCCTGTCCTTTGGTAAAGTCACCAACCTGCTCATGCTCAAAGGAAAGAACCAGGTAAGTGTTCTCACATGCGTTTCTATTCCAGAACTAGCACACCTGATTCAAGCCCAGGGGCTAGAGCAAAAGTGTGAAATGTCTGGGGGGTCCCCGAGAAGAGGTTTAAGAACCACTGGCTCATTAGTAGTAGTATGAATCATAGTTGTAACTACTTAATGCACTAGTAGTAACCAAGTGTTATCCAGAGCGGAACATAAACATGTAGTAGTGCTGATCAGAAATTCTCCTGTGTGTCCAGGCCTTCATAGAGATGAACACGGAGGACGCGGCCCAGGCCATGGTCAGCTACTACTCCTCTGTGACGCCAGTCATCCGCAATCACCCCATCTTCCTGCAGTACTCCAACCACCAGGAGCTCAAGACTGACAACTCCCCCAACCAAGTGGTGAGTCACGTTACTGTAGTGTACATCCTTGTCAACTGTTCACAACCCTTTTATCTGCTCAGGCGTACTCTTCTGAAAGGCTGTAAGAGAAGTTGTAGGCCTACATATGGACTCTACTCAAGGACTCTTCATTCAGGTTGTTTTTTTTGTAGGAAGCTCTGAGCAAAGAGTGTTTGATGCTTAGAGCCAACATGAAATGGGTTTCCTCGACAGTGGACTAGTTTGCTGTGGTTTTTCTTTAGAGGTATTTTGAACCGGCCATGAAAGCTATGGGCTCTAGTTCGCCCCTCTTTCCTGTATTGCTGGGTCAGAATGACTCATTTTGGAAATTGTCTGTTCTTGCCAGGGCTTGTGTGGTTGCACAAGCAAACCACCTGTCTACTTGTCAGCATCATAGCTGACTTCAGCCAATCAGAATTAACAGATTTTCCATGTTGGCGAAAATGGAGCTGTCGGCATTCGACTGGTAATTTTGTTAAACTTCTACCTCCTTTTGCAGTGTTTCACAAGCTTAAAGGCTTGTTTACCTTTCCCTGCATATCTTGTGGTTGAGTGTGGTGTGTATCATGCACACTCCCCTATTCTAAACACCGTTTCCTGGGAGACTGCATGCCAATGGCGACCAATGGAAGCCACAGCTGTGCTCTCTCTGCTCCCCCTCAAATGACTCATCACTTAGTCTTATCTGCTCATTGGCTAATACAGTGAACATAAACACTGCTGCTGCATTCCAAGATGTTTGTGTTTTCTCCATGGAGTGTTTTTCTTCCCACCAGGTGTATTACACTCACAAATGGGCCCCAGAGTTTCAACTGATGTGTGTACAAACATGTCATTTTTTTACTCCCCCAAAACGTTTTTTACAGCCATTTCTCTCGTAAATGTCGAGCAACTAGGAACTTGGCCTATATTGCTAACCTGAGTTTATTCAGTGAGGTGAAACGCAAAGAACTTAGCTTATTTAAATGTTTTGTGTAGAACACAGATGACTATCTGTGGGAGTCATGTCAGCTCTACTCGTTACATTTCTACCTGAACTTTCATGTGGAATTCCACTTGGTTCTCACCTCTTCCGCTGAACCACCCTCCTCTCTTCCCCTCCCAACAGAGAGCCCAGGCGGCACTGCAGGCGGTGCAGACGGGGGGCATGCCCATGGCAGGGGTGGACGCCTCGGCCGGCATGGGCGGGGCCAGCCCCGTGCTGCGTGTCATAGTGGAGAACCTCTTCTACCCCGTCACCCTGGACGTGCTGCATCAGGTAACACACACCGTCTTATAACACACTTCACTACATGTATGAATGTATAGGTCTAAGTTTGTATTCCCCCTGACCATGCCGTCGTCGCACGCAGATCTTCTCCAAGTTCGGCACGGTGCTGAAGATCATCACTTTTACCAAAAACAACCAGTTCCAGGCCCTGCTGCAGTACTCTGACGGCCTGACCGCTCAGCACACTAAACTTGTGAGTGGCGCCCTCTACCTGTCACACTAATACACAGCACTTCATTGTATTCTTAGATCCTAACTTGAATGTGTTTAAATGTATAGAGTATGGGGGAAAGGAATAGGAATGTGCAAATCGTTGATATTTGGACACATTTATGCATATTTTAATGTTGAAACTGTTGCCCTGTGATGAAGTCTTTAGACGGGCAGAACATCTACAACGCCTGCTGCACCCTCCGCATCAACTTCTCCAAGCTGGCCAGCCTGAACGTGAAGTACAACAACGACAAGAGCCGGGACTACACGCGTCCCGACCTGCCCACGGGGGACAGCCATCCCTCAATCGACCACCAGGCTATGGCTGCAGCCTTCGGTGAGTACTATGGTAAATATGTTTTAAAATACTTCCATCCTTCCTCGCTTCTCAATTAGACACGACTGGACAGGTGGGGAGCTACACTACATGTCATTCCAAAATCATGGGCATTAATATGGAGTTGGTCCCCACTTTGCTGCTATAACAGCCTCCACTCTTCTGGGAAGGCTTTCCACTAGATGTTGGAACATTGCTGCAGGGACTTGCTTCCATTCAGCCACAAGCGCATTAGTGAGGTAGGGCACTGATGTTGGGCAATTAGGCCTGGTTCGCAGTCGGTGTTCCAATTCATCCCAAAGGTGTTCAATGGGGTTGAGATCAGGGCTCTGTGCAAGCCAGTCAAGTTCATCCACACCGATCTCGACAAACCATTTCTGTATGGACCTCGCTTTGTGCACGGGGCATTGTCATGCTGAAACAGGAAAGGGACTTCCCCAAACTGTTGCCACAAGGTTGGAGGCACAGAATAATCTAGAATGTCATTGTATGCTGTAGCGTTAAGATTTCCCTTCACTGGAACTAAGGGGCCTAGCCCGAACCATGAAAAACAGCCCCAGACCATTATTTCTCCTCCACCAAACTTTACAGTTGGCACTATGCATTGGGGCAGGTAGCATTCTCCTGGCATCCGCCAAACCCAGATTCGTCCGTCGAACTGCCAGATGGTGAAGCGTAATTCATCACTCCAGAGAACGCATTTCCACTGCTCCAGAGTCCAATGGCGGCGAGCTTTACACCACTCCAGCCAACGTTTGGCCTTGCGCATGGTGATCTTAGGCGTGTGTGCGGCTGCTCGGCCATGGAAACACATTTCATGAAGCTCCAGACAAACAGTTATTGTGCTGACGTTGCTTCTGGGGGAAGTTTGGAGCTTGAGTGTTGCAACTGAGGACAGATGATTTTTACGGGCTACGCGCTTCATCACTTGGCGTTCCTGTTCTGTGAATTTGTGTGGCCTACCACTTCATGGCTGTACCGTTGCTCCTAGACGATTCCACGTCACAATAACAGCACTTACAGTTGACCGGGGCAGCTCTAGCATGGCAGAAATATTACGAACTGACTTGTTGGAAAGCTGCCATCCTATGACGGTGCCACATTGAAAGTCACTGAGCTCTTCAGGAAGGCCATTCTACTGACAATGTTTGTCTATGGAGATTGCATGGCTGTGAGCTCAACTTTAAATACCTGTCAGCAACGGATGAGGCTGAAATAGCCGAATCATCTACTAATTTGAAGGGGTGTCCACATACTTTTGTGTGTGTATATAAATATAGTAGATATGGCTGAACCTGTCTGATAATTTTCAACATTTTTATATTTGTATAATTTATATTACATTTATAAATTCAACCAATCGATTAACACTCCTCTGTATCCACATGTTTTTCTCCAGGTCCTCCCGGGATTATTCAGCCAACCCATATGCGGGAGCTCACGCCTTCTCCCCAGCCTTCACCATTCAGCAAGCTGCAGGTTAGTCGGCTCCTCCTCTGTGACGCTCACCTTGCTCCTGACCAACATTGATGGATTGTACTTAGACTTTTTCACTAGAGCTTTACATTTAAAGGGGTAAACTGGCCTCATCCACTACCATTGAGTGGCGACACTACGACTACTTTGATACTTTTGCAGACCTTGACCTATGAGCAGATTAGCAGTCAAGTGCTGGGTGGCTTCCTGTACAGCTGTTTATCAACCCATTTCAGAGCTTGTGCACTGATTGTTATCCCGCTCCGTTTGCTTCCCTCCGCAGGCCTGACGATGCAGGGGGTTCCAGGAGGCCTGGCCCAACTGACCATGCCTGGGGCTGCAGTCAGAATGGGCTTCCACCAACTCACCAGTGGCCACTGTGTCCTGCTGCTCAGTAACCTCAACCCAGAGGTTAGTCCTGCCTTGCCTCCCTCCCAGGTGAACTGAGTCTCCAGCTGTGAAGCTTCTCTATAGACGTGGGTTTCCTTCCTATTTCCTACCATGCTCCCCAAAGTGTGTACTTGGTCACTCCTCCCTCATGCGTTTTTAAAAGAAGTTGATTGTCATAATCCTGGGCTACTCTACACCATATTGTAGAGTATCCCATTGTCCCACCAGTTAATTTTTTTAAAATCCATGCGAGGAAGTGAGTGAGTGCACACTTTGGGGAAAAGGGTAGAGAATTGGACTGCAGCAAGTATTTGGAGAGCGCTGCTTCAGTGGGTCCGCATGCCAAGTACATTGGGCTGTGTATTATATGCTGACACTCAGTGTAACAACATTTATGTTAATGTTCCACTTCTATTGAAAATGTTTACAGTTAAGCCCTCCCCCTTCTCTCACACACACACACACACACACACACACACACACACACACACACACACACACACACGCATTAAGTCATGCCTAGGTGATATGCAGTAGTATAGAGTTGGGGCGATATTACGATAGCATCTTCTATCGTCGATGGTGACAACCTCGTGATGTGACAGATTATGGTTTAGCCTATTTGAACTTGACTGGACCTCAACAGGAATGTAGGCCAGACAGAGCGGCTAATTCACCAAAGCAGCGCAAAAATGTTTCTCTGTCGGATGCCTGGGCATTTAGGCTATAGCCTAAACCTATTCATTTTTTTACATAACGGACACTTCTTAACTACCTTTTCTAGCTTATTACCCAAATACATATATTTTAGCCTACGAAGGTGTTGTCCCGAAGTTGTTGTGGCTCTCAAAAATAACAAGAATGAAAGTCTATAGCATAGGCTATTCTCAATGACAGCTTTATGAGAGAGAGAGAACAAACAACATTTATTTTTCTATTGTTTCATGAGGCAAATAAAGCAATTATGAAAACGGTAGACTGCTTCTATCCAGCCCATAATGTAGGCCTATAACCTAACTCGCTACGGTAAGACATTAACTGTTCTATCATATTTTGCTCTTCCACCAGAAAGGAATATTAGAAAATATTTAACATTGCCTGCGCTTGCATTCGATTTCGCGCTTTAGCCCAACTGTCGTTAAATAATTGGGGGGTGGCCAATGGGGACGATAGCATCGTATTTCAAAACTGTGTGAAATGTCTATTAATGTTCAATTTGTCAACATAATGTTACCAGTCCCTCTTCATCTACTAAACCATTCCCATAACCCATCACACTCATGTAGAGCTTTTTTTAAATCCGATTTAGAGACAATATTGCTTTTATCTTTAGCATGGCCTTCAGCTTAAGCCCAACCAATATTTCTACAGTCATTAATTTAAAGAGCTTATCTGTTCATGTTAATACCAATGGTACACTTAAACTCAGACAGACTTATAGAATAAATATTGTCTCAGCCTCATGTGTATCATTCCTCCTAGTTTCATTGTAGGTTGAGTAATCTTTACATGATTTAAACCCTTTTTAAAGCACATTCTATATTGGATGGAACCACTTCATATTTCTTTGTATATTGACCTTGTTTTTTTTACCTCCTTTTTCTTGTTTCTCTCCCTCCCCATTCCCCCTCTCTCACCCTCTTTTTTTGTTTTTGTTTTAACCTGGAAACCTTTTATTTATTTTTGTTGCCAAACTGACTGCACGCCCCATGTATCCCCCTCCCACCTTTCTCTGAACCATTACACCACATCTTCAATACACACCACATGCATAAATGCATATAAACATATCCACTCATCTCTGCTCATATCATGTCACATAAACCACCTCCACCCCTTCTTCTCTCCTGTCCAATTTATTAACCCTCCTCATGATCCAACCCCCGTGGAACTGCCTCCGCTGTGGATGATATGTTGAACCTCCACTCTCCTGCCTCCGATCTTTTTCCTGTCCCTTCCTCCCTCCGCTGCCTTCCTCTGCTGTCTTATAAAGAGAGTTACACCCCAATGCCTCTTTATTCTTTTCGGTATGTTGTCATTGGCACCTTTTTTTATTATTACTACTTGTTTGTTCTGTTCAGTTTATAAAAAAATTATTTCATAACCAGTTTGTTTCAAATGTTTTGAGTTTCTAGTTTTGGTTTCATGAGTTTTGTGTGTTAGTTTTAGAAACTTGGTGAAAAGTTGCAGCATTTTCAGTGTTTGTGTCCACGGGCTTACAGTGAGGGACAAAAGTATTTGATCCCCTGCTGATTTTGTACGTTTGCCCACTGACAAAGAAATGATCAGTCTATAATTTTAATGGTAGGTTTATTTGAACAGTGAGAGACAGAATAACAACAACAAAAAATCCTGAAAAAACGCATGTCAAAAATGTTATAAATTGATTTGCATTTTAATGAGGGAAATAAGTATTTGACCCCCTCTCAATCAGAAAGATTTCTGGCTCCCAGGTGTCATTTATACAGGTAATGATCTGAGATTAGGAGCACACTCTAAAAGGGAGTGCTCCTAATCTCAGCTTGTTACCTGTATAAAAGACACCTGTCCACAGAAGCAATCAATCAATCAGATTCCAAACTCTCCACCATGGCCAAGACCAAAGAGCTCTCCAAGGATGTCAGGGACAAGATTGTAGACCTACACAAGGCTGGAATGGGCTACAAGACCATCGCCAAGCAGCTTGGTGAGAAGGTGACAACAGTTGGTGTGATTATTCGCAAATGGAAGAAACACAAAATAACTGTCAATCTCCCTCGGCCTGGGGCTCCATGCAAGATCTCACCTCGTGGAGTTGCAATGATCATGAGAACGGTGAGGAATCAGCCCAGAACTACACGGGAGGATCTTGTCAATGATCTCAAGGCAGCTGGGACCATAGTCACCAAGAAAACAATTGGTAACACACTACGCCGTGAAGGACTGAAATCCTGCAGCGCCCGCAAGGTCCCCCTGCTCAAGAAAGCATGTATACAGGCCCGTCTGAAGTTTGCCAATGAACATCTGAATGATTCAGAGGAGAACTGGGTGAAAGTGTTGTGGTCAGATGAGACCAAAATGGAGCTCTTTGGCATCAACTCAACTCGCCGTGTTTGGAGGAGGAGGAATGCTGCCTATGACCCCAAGAACACCATCCCCACCGTCAAACATGGAGGTGGAAACATTATGCTTTGGGGGTGTTTTTCTGCTAAGGGGACAGGACAACTTCACCGTAGGTCAAAGGGACGATGGCGGCGCCATGTACCGTCAAATCTTGGGTGAGAGCCTCCTTCCCTCAGCCAGGGCATTGAAAATTGGTCGTGGATGGGTATTCCAGCATGACAATGACCCAAAACACACGGCCAAGGCAACAAAGGAGTGGCTCAAGAATAATCACATTAAGGTCCTGGATTGGCCTAGCCAGTCCCCAGATCTTAATCCCATAGAAAATCTGTGGAGGGAGCTGAAGGTTCGAGTTGCCAAACGTCAGCCTCGAAACCTTAATGACTTGGAGAAGATCTGCAAAGAGGAGTGGGACAAAATCCCTCCTGAGATGTGTGCAAACCTTGTGGCCAACTACAAGAAACGTCTGACCTCTGTGATTGCCAACAAGGATTTTGCCACCAAGTACTAAGTCATGTTTTGCAGAGGGGTCAAATACTTATTTCCCTCATTAAAATGCAAATCAATTTATAACATTTTTGACGTATTTTTCTGGATTTTGTTGTTGTTATTCTGTCTCTCACTATTCAAATAAACCTACCATTAAAATTATAGACTGATCATGGCTTTGTCAGTGGGCAAACGTACAAAATCAGCAGGGGATCAAATACTTTTTTCCCTCACTGTATATAGATATTTCTGACTAGTGTCTTTTAATACTATCGACCAATTTCATGACCTGAAAACCAATGAATATACAGTGGGGGAAAAAAGTATTTAGTCAGCCACCAATTGTGCAAGTTCTCCCACTTAAAAAGATGAGAGGCCTGTAATTTTCATCATAGGTACACGTCAACTATGACAGACAAAATTAGAGAAAAAAATTCAGAAAATCACATTGTAGGATTTTTAATGAATTTATTTGCAAATTATGGTGGAAAATAAGTATTTGGTCACCTACAAACAAGCAAGATTTCTGGCTCTCACAGACCTGTAACAACTTCTTTAAGAGGCTCCTCTGTCCTCCACTCGTTACCTGTATTAATGGCACCTGTTTGAACTTGTTATCAGTTTAAAAGACACCTGTCCACAACCTCAAACAGTCACACTCCAAACTCCACTATGGCCAAGACCAAAGAGCTGTCAAAGGACACCAGAAACAAAATTGTAGACCTGCACCAGGCTGGGAAGACTGAATCTGCAATAGGTAAGCAGCTTGGTTTGAAGAAATCAACTGGGAGCAATTATTAGGAAATGGAAGACATACAAGACCACTGATAATCTCCCTCGATCTGGGGCTCCACACAAGATCTCACCCCGTGGGGTCAAAATGATCACAAGAACGGTGAGCAAAAATCCCAGAACCACACGGGGTGACCTAGTGAATGACCTGCAGAGAGCTGGGACCAAAGTAACAAAGCCTACCATCAGTAACCCACTACGCCGCCAGGGACTCAAATCCTGCAGTGGCAGATGTGTCCCCCTGCTTAAGCCAGTACATGTCCAGGCCCGTCTGAAGTTTGCTAGAGTGCATTTGGATGATCCAGAAGAGGATTGGGAGAATGTCATATGGTCAGATGAAACCAAAATAGAACTTTTTGGTAAAAACTCAACTCGTCGTGTTTGGAGGACAGAATGCTGAGTTGCATCCAAAGAACACCATACCTACTGTGAAGCATGGGGGTGGAAACATCATGCTTTGGGGCTGTTTTTCTGCAAAGGGACCAGGACGACTGATCCGTGTAAAGGAAAAAATGAATGGGGCCATGTATCGTGAGATTTTGAGTGAAAACCTCCTTCAATCAGCAAGGGCATTGAAGATGAAACGTGGCTGGGTCTTTCAGCATGACAATGATCCCAAACACACCGCCCGGGCAACGAAGGAGTGGCTTCGTAAGAAGCATTTCAAGGTCCTGGAGTGGCCTAGCCAGTCTCCAGATCTCAACCCCATAGAAAATCATTGGAGGGAGTTGAAAGTCCGTGTTGCCCAGCGACAGCCCCAAAACATCACTGCTCTAGAGGAGATCTGCATGGAGGAATGGGCCAAAATACCAGCAACAGTGTGTGAAAACCTTGTGAAGACTTACAGAAGACGTTTGACCTGTGTCATTGTCATTGCCAACAAAGGGTATATAACAAAGTATTGAGAAACTTTTGTTATTGACCAAATACTTATTTTCCACCATCATTTGCAAATAAATTCATTAAAAATCCTCCAATGTGATTTTCTGGATTTTTTTTTCTCATTTTGTCTGTCATAGTTGACGTGTACCTATGATGAAAATTACAGGCCTCTCTCATCTTTTTAAGTGGGAGAACTTGCACAATTGGTGGCTGACTAAATACTTTTTTCCCCCACTGTATATCTGTTTTTTTTAATCTGAGTTTACTATTCCCTTAACCATAGTGGAAATTACAAGACTGCACGTTGTGCATTTGAATTGATAAGAATATCTTGTGGGAAATTCTGTGAGATGCTGTAACTTCCATCAGATTTTATTATTTGTCTGTTCAGTCATAGTTTTTATGGTAAATTTGCATGCTGGATTTTTTCATTTTGCATGCCCTTTATGAACGCTGTATCAATTGCTTTTGGTTAATGGTCAAGACTCCCATTATTTGTGCAGAGTACATATGGCCAATTTTGCATTCCTTTATTAAGCGTCTTCAATGTTATTCACCAATTCATCAGGAGGGGTCACTTTGTAGATGCACAAGTCATTTCCTCCTTGATAAACTACATAAAACCCTAATTTTCCCTTTCCCTTATTCCGTCCAAGTGTAGCTACATTTTGCAGTTCCACCACCTTTCTCTTTGAGAATTTATTTAAACCAATGTACAAATGGTAGCCTACACTTTGATAAAAAAAAAAAAAAAATGGACAATTCTGGTATAGTTAAGTCAAACATGCTGTACCTCTGAGTAATTTACCAATTCCCACTAGTGACCATGATGCAACATTCCAATGATCAGTGGCTTCAGTCGCTCATGTTAGAATGAATTTCACCCCCTTCTCATTTGACTAAATGGAGGAGCATCTTGATTGTGAACTGAAGTTATTCATATACACAAGCTTCCCCATGGGGCCCAGATAGGTGTTAACCAAATCTTAAAGGTGCCCAAAGACATGGTTTTATTGGTTTCAAACAGTTGTTCCCCCCCCCCCCCCCCCCCCCAATCTTTGAAGGTGTATATGGTGATGTAATGAGAGTGAAGATCCTGTTCAACAAGAAGGAGAACGCTCTGATCCAGATGTCTGATGGGACTCAGGCGCAGCTAGGTAAGGCCCGCTAAACTTTCCTGGAAAGGAATAATCCAGGAAAAGTAGCGCCAAACGAAACCATGTGTAGGGAGCGATGTGCATCTGGAAATTATGCTAATGGTAATAATAAGGTTTTCTAGATGTCCGCTTTAGCGATGGAAATTTGCCAGCGTGTTGAGTACACCCATACACTGATTAGAAGACTCACACTGCTTAACCTCTGCTTCCAACAGCAATGAGCCACCTGAATGGCCAGAGACTCCACGGGACAGCGCTGCGAATCACCCTGTCCAAACACACCAACGTTCAGCTGCCCCGCGAGGGCCACGAGGACCAGGGCCTGACCAAGGACTACAGCAACTCCCCCCTGCACCGCTTCAAGAAGCCTGGCTCCAAGAACTACTCCAACATATTCCCTCCCTCAGCCACCCTGCACCTCTCAAACATCCCGTAAGTAGACCGGAGGTGTTTCTGCTGGAATGAGCCCACTGATGCGTTCGATAGCTGCTAGTCCTCAGGTACCACTTTCATGGTATGGAAAAACTCAGCCAATTGCCACGGTATGTATTGGTGAACTACTGCTAAAGTCTTCTCTAGTTTTAAAATTGTGTCTTTCTTTTTAGTCCCTCTGTGGTTGAGGACGACCTTAAGATGCTGTTTGCGAGCTCTGGTGCAATGGTCAACGCCTTCAAGTTCTTCCAGTAAGTTATCTTTTCCCCTTTTCTAAAACCCAGCTAGGTTTAGTATTTTTGTTAAAATCGTTATTCTTTTCTATCTGGTTGTGTGGGTGATGTTGCATATCGAACTGTATGTCGAATGTTTAAGAAAGGCTGCGTATCTGACAGTGTTGGTGCATTGTTTTTAGGAAAGACCGCAAGATGGCCTTGGTCCAGATGGACTCAGTAGAGGAGGCCATTGAGTCCCTCATCAAGTTCCACAATCACGACCTGGGCGAGAACCACCACCTGAGGGTGTCCTTCTCCAAATCCACAATCTGAAGGGGGGCAGCCCAAAACGCAACTGCTAACGGGCCGTAGCGAGTTGTGGGGAAGCGACTCTACAGTCATAATAGCCTCAACCACAGAATTCACTTCCATCATTCCTAGTATATTATATTTATATACGCAAAGCTAAACCATATGGAAAAGTAAAGTGCACATCCGATTTTCCTTTCCTTTTTTTCTTTTTTTTTTTCTTTAAGTTTTTTATTATCTTGCCTTTTTGAGAGGTGAATGAATCTCTCTCTCTCTCGCTTTCTCTCTCTCTCTCCCCCTCTGTCTCTGTGCACAGACAGAAGTAGTTTACACTTGCCTTTCTGAGTCTGACTAAAGACACTCACCTAGCCTAAACTTGGAACTAAAGTTCCATTTGCCCTTAGGGTCCAGCACCACTAGGCTCTGAGGTACTTCTGTGATGCCTCATGGCCTCTGTGCCTTACTCCAGAAGTCTTACATCCTTCAATTTGATATTTTTGGCATTTTACTAGATAATTTTGTTTTGGCTATCTTCTCCAATTCTTTGTTTGCAAAGACCAGGTTTACAGCTGATATGGGTTTACCGTTTTGTATGAAATGTATTACAAGATTGTCCATTCCTTTTTTCCCATGTATCATGAAGGTATACTTTTTTTGTCTTATTTTAAAGTGCCCTCTTGTTTTAAAAGTAAGTTGAGCTAGCTAGTTGCAAGATTCAATCCACAATGCTGTGTGTATATGTATGTATGTGTGTGTATGTATATATGTATGTATATTTGTGTGTGTGTGTGTGTGTGTGTGTGTGTGTGTGTGTATATATGTGTATGTATATACGTATGTGTGTATATATATGTGTGTGTATGTACCAGTCAAATGTTTGGACACACCTACTCATTCATTTCTTTATTTTTACTATTTTCTACATTGTAGAATAATAGTGAAGATATCAAAACTATGAAATAACACATATGGAATCTTGTAGTAGCCACCCTTTGCCTTGATGACAGCTTTGCACATTCTTGGCATTCTCTCAACCAGCTTCACCTGGAATGCTTTTCCAACAGCCTTGAAGGAGTTCCCACATATGCTGAGCACTTGTTCGCTACTTTTCCTATACTCTGCCGTCCGACTCATCCCAAACCATCTCAATTGGGTTAAGGTCTGGGGATTGTGGAGGCCAGGTCATCTGATGCAGCACTCCATCACTCTCCTTCTTGGTAAAATAGCCCTTACACAGCCTGAAGGTGTGTTGGGTCATTGTCCTGTTGAAAAACAAATGATAGTCCCACTAAGCCCAAATCAGATGGGATGGCGTATCGCTGCAGAATGCTGTGGTAGCCATGCTGGTTAAGGGTGCCTTGAATTCTAAATAAATCACAGACAGTGTCACCAGCAAAGCACCCCCACACCATAACACCACCTCCATGCTTTACGGTGGGAAATGTACATTCGGAAATCATCCGTTCACCCACACCGCATCCCAAAAATCTCAAATTTTGTCTCCAGACCAAAGGACAAATTTCCACCGGTCTAATGTCTATTGCTTGTGTTTCTTGGCCCAAGCAGGTCTCTTCTTCTTATTGGTGTCATTTAGTAGTGGTTTCTTTGCAACAATTCGACCATGAAGGCCTGATTCACACAGTCCCCTCTGAACAGTTGATGTTGAGATGAACTCTGTGAAGCATTTATTTGGGCTGCAATTTCTGAGGCTGGTAACTAATTAACTTATCCTCTGCAGTAGAGGTAACTCTGGGTCTTCCATTCCTGTGGTGGTCCTCATGAGAGCAAGTTTCATCATAGCACTTTATGTTTTTTGCAACTGCACTTGAAGAAACTTTCAAAGTTCTTGAAATGTTCCGTATTGACTGACCTTCATGTCTTAAAGTAATGATGGACTGTCGTTTTCTCTTTGCTTATTTGAGCTGTTCTTGCCATAATATGGACTTGGTCTTTTACCAAATAGGACTATCTTCTATATATCCACCCTACCATGTCACAATACAACTAATTGGCTCAAACGCATTAAAAAAGAAAAAAATTCCTAAATTAACTTTTAAGAAGGCATACCTGTTAATTGAAATGCATTCCAGGTGACTACCTCATGAAGCTGGTTGAGAGAATGCCAAGAGTGTGCAAAGCTGTCATCAAGGCAAAGGGTGGCTATTTGAAGAATCTCAAATATAAAATATATTTTGATTTGTTTAACACTTTTTTGGTTACTACATGATTCCATGTGTTATTTCATAGTTTTGATGTCTTCTATTATTCTTCAATGTAAAAAATAGTAAATATAAAGAAAAACCCTTGAATGAGTAGGTGTCCAAACTTTTGACTGGTATTGTGTGTGTGATTTATATTCCTAGTCTTGTTTAATGTATCTCTAGATGTAGGTGGTTTTGCATTTTATGAAATGTATGCAATCATTTTTGTACAAATCCAATATTGTCCACAATTTTTATTCCAATATACTGTTGGTTGTAGCTGATAGGTCTTGGTCAGTGGTTGCCTTAACCACTGTGCCTTTGCAAAAGGTCTATTGACTGAGCTTTCCTGATAAGTGTGGCTTACAATGTGCTGTCTTGTGTTTGTTTATGATTTTTTTGTCTTAATTGCTTGTCTCCCTCTGTTGCACTGGCCGTCAATTTAGTATATTTATACAACTTCTGTCATACACTACAGCTCAAAACCAAATAAGGCCTTTTTGCAAGTTTATTGTAGCTAACCAGTAGAGACGCACCGCTTTATTCATAGTTCACTACCACAGTGTGGTAGTCTGCCCGCACATTGTAGCTAATTTACACGGCTATTTCGAATCTCGTACATATGCAGACTATTTGCGACTCTGCTGCTGTGATCTATGAATTAAACTTAAGAATTGGAAGCTTCTCAGTTAGTTTAATGGCAAGATGAAAGATGGTCATATCATTTACAAGTGTGCTCTTAAGAAATTAGTGAATATAGTCTGTCACTCGTCTTAAGTGTTCACAAAGGACTTCTCACGAGGTGTTAGTAGCCTTTATTTTACAGGGCTGTGACTTACTTCATTCCGTCATTGCTAAAAGCAGCTAACGGCTATACAGCACCCACTCTGTCAAGGTAGTCGGCAGGTAGTTTAGTGGGTAAGAGCGTTGTGCCAGTAAACGAAAGGTCGCTGGTTCTAATCCCCGAGCCGACTGGGTGAAAAATCTGTCGATGTGCCCTTAAGCCAGGTACTTAACCCTAATTGCTCCTGTAAATCCTTCTGGATAAGAGCGTCTGCAAATGACTAAAATGTAGTCTAGGGACTGGACTCGTCTGGACAACTTGCAGTTTAAATTAAGATCCATTTAGCTATTTTAGACAAGTGCCTGTCAAACGTTTAAGCCTTTTTTTGTCTGTTTAGTTGTAATGAACGTATATGTCGTTTCTGTAGGAAATGCACACATCAGGCATAACTCTAAACGTCTGCAGTGATGCTAGACGCTGGCTACATTGAAGGTGGACACGCTGTTGTAGACCACTTTCACAATTAGTTGTGCATCAACTCCCCAGTCGCTTTCCCTATGTTGACCTGGTGCAAAAGCTATAATAGAATTTCAGGGTCAGAGTGCTCAGCCGCTTTGTTAAATCACTTGAGTTTTCATGGACTCCAACAATGTAGAAGAATCACAATTTCTAGACAACTGAACCTGACTAAAGGATAAGTGACACTTGCTTCTAAATCAGTATGTAGCGTGTGTTGACAATAAAGGCCTTTACATGCTTTGTTAACCCCAGGCCATGGCGGGAGTGGATTTACCAATTATGCAAAATTGCAAAGCATTTAAAATCATTACAACCTCAATCACTGAAGATGGCAGGTTTCTTCCAGGGAGGTAATGTTGATTGTCAGGGGGTTGGGATGAAAAGCTGTGTATAATGGTTGGGTTTTTTTGTACCACAAAAAGTAGCTATTCAGAAGCAATATAGGTTTTATATCAATGAAACATGTCTATTTTGATTATAGCTTGGGACCATTCTTGAGCCTCAGTTAAACGTATCGTAGAAAAAAAAAAAAAAAAGTTTTCCAACTAAAATGTTTTGTCCCTTTGGTCATTGTGTAGTGTTCTGTATAGCTCATACTTTTCTGGTTCTTGTCCCTTCAATAAATATTTTCTCTGCTTTCTACTTGTCATTTCCTCTCGTTAGGTTCTGCTATTTTTGGATTTACCTCTCCTTGCACATCCAGTTACTTTCCTACGTTCTCCCGCAAAACATTGGATCTATAAAGGCTGCTCCCATTGTTTCTGGGCTAAATACTAGCTTACTTGATTTTATTTTAACAGGGATTCCCATTGAGACCAAGGTCTTTTTTGCAAGGGAGCCTTGCATGCTCATAATTTATAAAATTACAAACACAGAAGAATTGCATAGTTTCCTATTAAAGCTTATCTGTCCAAATTCTTATGAAAGAAGAACTGGACACGAGCAGAGCTTTTGATTTGAAATGGTAAAACGTGCATAAAATACTTTTAGTATAGAGGCCAAGCATTTTTGTCCCTAACTACTTTTGGAATGCACTGTCTGTGGCACAGTGGCGGCTCCTGAAAAAATTCTCAGGGGGGGCAATTTTTCTGATGATTTAGGTGACCTACACACATTTTAAAAAATATATGTCCAGCAACAACATGAAGACAGGGGCAGCATATAAGTCAATGCCAGAAGCATTTATTGACTGATCTCAAAAGTGTTGGCTTACAAAAGCAAAATAAGTTATCACAGTAAAAATAATCAAGAGTGTTCTTTCACATTCCTCAACACTGCATAAACAATATGCATTTCCATAAACAAATGAAATATCAGCTGAAAATACAGCATCTTGGTATTTGTTCAGATTGCAGGATCAACAAGAGCTTTTACCACATGTTTTGCCTCATGGTTGAATTGGAAATATGTGCACCTGAGCATAATTCACAACAAGCAAGCAGGAGCTTTTGATAGAGGCTACTGAAAACATTGATGCAAGTTATTGGTAATAAGAAATTTTTATAGACTTCCATATTCTG